ACTCCCCTACACGGGCTACCCACTTAGATGGCATGAATTTGTCCCCAAGAGTAAGTGCCTCTGAAGACGTTCCCTGTTCATGACGTGAGACATCATTGCCTTACATGGCACTTGCTCACATAGGCCAGAGGCTGAATGTAGGGCAGTGGCAGGCAGCCTGCTTTCCAATCCATGCTGCTGGAGCACTCCATGTACTCAAAGGCCTGGCTGCAGCAAATTCCAGGTGGCCCAGCAGAGTCATCACCAATAGCAGCTCAGCTGCCCTGCATTTCAGAGCTGGAGCTGGAAGGCAAAGGCAAAGACACTGTGTCAGAGCCAGCCTCAGGAGTGGGTGACATGGGCTTCATGGTCAGGGGGGCACCACACAGACACAGCAGTACTCTCCCCTCACCCCACCTTGCCTCAGACAGAGACAGGAGGAGCACTGCCCAGCCCAGTCCACCCCTCTGCCTCCAGCCGCTGCTCAGGAGGAGCCAGGCCAGGCAGTGCAGGTGGTACCACCTTCCTGCCACACTACGCCCTGCACTCCTACCCACCTGCCTCTGCCTGCAGCGGCGCCACTGACTTGGGAGAGGGAACTGGGAGGGGTGGTGCCAAAATACAAATTCACCCAGGGCACCATTTTCCCTAAGGCCAGCTCTGCACCGTGCTCACATGCACTTGGGAAATACCAAGACCTGGCCCAATCTCTACGGCAGCGCTTGACATAGTCCTCACACTGGGCTGCCTTCTGGGTTACAGCCCCTGGCAGATTTCCTCCTCCCTCCTCTGTCAAGTGGCCATTTTAACACTGTCAGTTGAAATCTAATAGTAGGTAATTTCCATCCCTCATTCTGATTACAGTAGCTTGGCCATTGCAGCATACGATTATCTCCTGCGGGTGGTGACTATTGTTAGTACTATGGCAGCACCCAGGAATCTCAAAGAAGATCAAGGCTTCTTTGTGTTGGACACAGTGCGAGTCTGCATGCGTAGGCACGTGCACACGTGCACACACACACACACACACACACACACACACGCTCCACGCCCTGAAGAGTTCACAACACAGAGAAAAGAGCAAAGAAATCCCATTTCCATGCTAATGGGCACAGAGCAACTTGCTCTCAATCACATTCAGTCAGGAAAGAAACTCAGATCCCCTTTGGCCCAAGCTGGTATCCAACTTCAGTCAGATTAAACACTGTTGGATGCCTCTTAAACAAGAGTGACATCAATTATTTTTTACCCCTCCCATAGCCCATGATAGCCCTGGAGCAATCTGACCTGCACATTGCTCTTGGAAGCAGAGACAGCATAGCTGACTTGCTGGATGGATAGATACTAATGCAAGTGTCCCAGCTTTGATCGATGGAGAGTGCTCTCCAGCTATTTTAATCCTTATGCACTGTCTAAATAGGAAGGAAAGTGCTGCTAGAGAAGTCGAGCAGAGCGTGCCTAGTATCTGCTCTATAAACGTGAGCCCCCAACACAAACAGATCAGATTCTCAGTTCCCTGGGAAGCACCATCTGGTTTTGGATAGCTGCCACTTAAAAGGCATGCATCCAGTGCTGGAAGCTGTCACAGAAACAAATGTTTATTTGTCGCAAGAAGGAACCAAATCTGGATATTGCGCGGGTGTCAATTCCAGTCTCAGTTTCTCATGGGGAAGGGCCTGGGCATTTCTGCCTGCTTGGACAGTGAAACTTCAATCCAGCAAAAGGTGGTTGGGGACAGCAGAGAAGGCTATGAGGCTTTTCTTATGAGCAGAGGCATAAATAATAAGTTTTGCACTCTGAGCAAAACCCTTGTACCCTGAGTGGAGAGGATTCCTCAAGTGACAGAAAGTGGGGGGAGGAGGGTGAAAGGATGAAGCCAGTCAGTCTGCCCTGGGGACTCAAAGACCCAGCTGCTGCTGCTACATTGCTATTTGCCCATCCCCAGCTGCTACTGCTTGGTATGGGGCTGCTGTTGCTGAGGCAATGAGATGGGGCACAATAATAGAGATTAAGTCAGCACCCAGGGCTGGTGCCTCACTTGCTCATCCCTAGTTATGGTCCTGCATGTGAGTCAGGAATGACAGTTCCAGAAACCTTTGTTGCAGTGCAAAGGTCTGAGTGCAATGAGAACTAGAGAGGAATGAATCTCTTGCTGATTCAGCTATCGGCTAGACGGTTACGTCACGGATACAGCTAGAACCCTGCTGGGGCAGCGGCCTTTGGCTGCCATCATTAAGGAGGCCACTTGTGGTCTCTTACCTCATTTAGTGATAACTTCTGCCAAGTTTTCTGCCATCTTTTCTGGAAGAACCATCTCCCATAATGACATGGCCATGAAGGTCAGCTCAGAGTAAAGATAAAGACTATTAACCCTATAAGCAAAACACCTGGAGACACTGACTCACTTGTTTCATGGGGACAAGGCACCCATGTCCAAGGAGACATAGAAACAACATGCACAAGAAGTTAGCTGCCCCCCTGAATAAAACAGCAATGCGAGGCAATGCTAGCAGAGCATGAAACTGGTATCTTTTATGCTTTATAGCATGCTACTGAGTGCAAATCCATTTATGCTCCAGCAGAGACGTATACTGTCACAGAATGACCCACAAGATGCAAATTTCTACTAAACCAGCAGTTTTGAAATGAAGAGCCTTTTTGCAGTGAGAGTCAGTGACAACCACCAATGCAGAACCACAACCTCACTCCCAGCTGGATAAAATTGTTGCTTGCATGACTCCAAAATGTACATTTCTTCATAATTTTCATTCAAGCTAGATCCATTCAGGTTATGCTACTGGGAATTAAGATGGGGACAATATGATTCTGTGTTTGGTGAACCCCATTGCCATCAAGTTTTATGGAGGGCTTCACCCTGGACTTAGAACCTATCCCCATTCAACAAGAAATAACACTGAATTATGTCATGGTTACCCACCCTGTACTCCCTTTTCCTGGGGTTGCTTGAGGGCTCTGGTACATCCCTCCCCCATAGATGTCCAGCACCATGCTTGTGTTCCACGATTATGGAGAAAACCAATTGCAGGTGTTCCAAGCACTATATCCCAAGGCTGTAAACCAGCTAGTAGTTTCCAATAATCCCTCTACTGACTGTTTCCAAATAATGTGCTTCTGGCAAGGTCCCCAGGTATGTCTGCTCAACTACTCTTGCTCACACACCCCAAACCCAGGAATGTACTGGTGGACCCACTCTCAAGAGTCTCAAGAGTGATCACAGGGGGTTACTCTTGAAGAGGTTTCACTGGCACATTTCCAGGTTTGTCGTATGCAAGTGGGAGCAGGTAGGTGAGAATATCCTTGCTGAGATGGTGTAAACATACCCTCAGATACCTGGCTTCTGTGACCACTCCTCAGAACACATGCTAAGCCTATCCTAGCCCAGCTGAACTAGCCTCTTCCAAGCAGGAAAGAGGAGCCCTCAGAGACTCACTCGTAGATTTTTCTCCCGAATGCCCAGACAATCCATGACCAAACTGTGCACCTAGTGCTTCAGAGGTCTGTTCAACATCAACTGTAACAGCTCCTGTACATGATGCACACTGCTCAAGACATGCATACACATTGCAAGAGATGGTAGAGGCTTACCCTGGAGATGCCAACGATTTGCTCATCTGGAACCAAGCTGATACGCACAAAGCAAGACTCAAAGTTGACATCCTCCTTCTCCATGAGGTCTTTGCCTTGCAGCAGCGTGACATGCAGGGTGTTGGAGTGCACGTCATACTCCATGTTGACTTCCACCTGGCCCACAGTGAAATCTTGGCCAAAATTATTCCCTATGGAGGAGATGGAGCTAAGCGAGTCAGTGGACACCGACTTCTTCAGGGGTCCATATGGAGCCAGCTCCAGATCTTTGTTCATCAGTTCCAAGGTCCCCAGCTCATTGATATTCTCAAAGGTGTCATCCATCTTCAGGCTGGGTTTGCGGACTGGGGATGTCCTTTCCACTGCCTTTCGAATGTTCGAGGTTACACCTCTCTGCAGACAGAGGACAGGATAGAAGAGCCACTTAGGTTTGGTTAGCCTGTGCATTTCTGAATGATTTGCTATTACAGTTCATGTGAAGCACATGACACAAGGGACCCAAATACATAACTGCCATCAGAAATAAAGATAGCTGCCCAATAATAATATCTATAGCATCAGGCAATGAGATAACCTTCCCAGAGCAAGCAGAGGAAGAAGGCCCTTTGCTTATATCACTTAGGAGAGACCAGATGAAACACTGAAATGTATACTGTATGCATGAAACTTGAAAAAGGGTCATATTTTGGGAGGGGAGGCTAAATTAATAAGGGACCAAAGGGCTGTGCTCGGTACAGTGGAGCCAAGCGTGTAACACTGGCCTTTCCAGATGTTTAATAAAAGCATGTTTTCTTCCCTGCCTGCTGCCAGCTTCACCACATATTGCTAATGAATCCTTGTAAGGCAAAACCCTACCAGGAAACTGAGGCAACAAGGACTAGAGGGCCCAAGGGATGTTTTTGCATTCCTGTTTTCTAAAAATATTTGGACTTTTTAAGAGAAATGGTCAGATTTTTTGCTTAGCTTCCCCAAAAGACTGTGCCGTTCCCTTCCAACTAGCACTGTGGAGTTGCATCCCATGTGTCCCTTGCTACTTCAGTACAGGTCCTTTCCATCCCTACCTTCTATGTTTTGATCCCTTGCTTATCCTCTCTCACTACCAGTCCCCTTGCCCCCACCCCCATGTCCTTCCTTCTTGTTCTTTTCCTAGGAAACAGCTGACTTGCACATGTCCTGTCCTCGAAAAGGCTCAAGTTCTCTGTGGCAGGGTGAGACTTTTAAGAAGCTTTCAGAGGACAAGTAGTTTGAGAACCAAGAGGGAAAAGGTATTTGGGAAGAACAAAGATGATTACAGAACAAAGATGGTACAGAGAGGCTTCTGTGTGAGGACAGACTAAAGAGGCTAGGCCTAGTCGTGTTCGAAAAGAGACACTTGCTCATGATAAGGGTTTGCCAAATACTAAATGGTGAAGAGAAAGTAAATAGGGATTTATTATCTCTAACAATACAATAATAAGAACTAGGGATCAAAAATGCAACTAGTAGGTAGTGAGTTTAAAACTAACAAAAGAAAGCTCTTTTTCTCATAGTGTGTAATTAAAGTGTGGAACTCATTGCCACTAGATGTGGAGCTGACAATTTAGCCAGTTTCACAAAGCAATTGGACAAATTCTTGGAGGAAAGGTGCATGCATTGCTATTGAGCATGAAAATTAGAGATACAGCCTCTGGATCAAAACTCCCTTAAATGCAGGAGGCTGCAAGTGAGACAGGAACAACAGAAAAAAAAAACCCTGGTCATACCCTGTTCACTTTTCCTTTCAGCATCCACTCTCTGACACTATGTGACGCAGGATACTGGACAAGATGGGCAGATGGTCTGACCCAGTATAAATGGCAGGTCTTACATTCTTAAGAAAGGAAAAATGAGAGGAGGAAGGTGCAACTGTAATAGGCCAGCATAGCAGGACAGAGCTGGCAAGAAGCATGAACCACCAGATGGTTAAAAATAGCTCCCTGCGGCTGCTGCGCTGCAGTTTTCTACACAGAGTCCTTTTTATATCAGTCCTGGCTAGGTTGGGTTTGAACATGAGAGCCAAGGGGCTGAGCCAGGCCCGTTTTACACGGTTGCCCTCACAAAAGGTCAGGAATGATAGATAAAGCTGATCCAAATATCAGGGCATGTGTATGCTGTCACCTAAACTAGATCTTCTAGTTTTTTGCATTTGTTCCCTCTCTCTCATTTAGACTCTGGACTCTCTAGAGCAGGGACTCTCTTATTAAGTGTGCTTATAATGACTAATAGTCATCTTGGAGCATCTAGGCACTCCATTAAAAACAACCACCATTATGAATATTTGAGTGAAAAAAATTCTCATTAATCAAAAACTACTGCCACACACAATTCCCCCAAATCTGTCAATTCTGAGGGAAATATTTCATTTTTGTACAATGTTTTAGATGGAGACTACCAATAGAAACCTTCACCTCCTATTTGTTTTTTGATATGTGGTTTTGCATTTTACAGTGTCAGTTTTGACAGATTGATTCAGTCTTATACATTTTAAAATATTTTCCCCACTTTCGAATGATATCAGATAAAAAGCTTGTGAAAACTCTGTGCGTCTTGAAAATGAACAAAACAACCCATTTCACAGTTTTAGCAATATCGTGTGTCCATTTTTTATTGGTTTGGATTCCAGCCAGTCTGCATGTTACAGAAATAAGGCACCACTGCTCTGTAATTTCCAAGATCATGCCTTGCACGTTTTAAAAGGCAAGTTCAATATTTGCTACCCTCCAATCATTGGTATAAGTAGTTATTTTCAATGAGAGACTGCATAATTTTGTGAGCTGCTAAGTCACTTGATTCACACCCTTCTTTCAGCTTCTTGAGCATAACCACACAGCCCTGGTGACCTTTTGCTCTTAAATTAACCACTGATACTTCACCATCTCAAACTCTTTTGACCCTTTCCTTTTATTAACTGAAAGCAGCAGGCTTGGGGTAACGATCTCTGCAGCTTCCTTCCTAGTAAAATCTGATGCAAAAGGAAGTGTTTGCTCTCTGAAATGTAAATGGCCCCTTTACCCACTACTGATCCAGCTGCCCCACCAGTTCTTTTACAGCTTGCCTGCTACTAGGATACTTAAGAAAAGTCAAGGTATGTGTAAAGCAAGAATTTCCTCGGGTGATATCTTTTACTGGGACTTAGTTAGCTATGTTAATCTAAAGTCAAATAGAAAGCAGGATATATTTGCGCCTTGTAGACTAACCAAAATCTGTCTGTCTGTCCAGTAGATAGCTAGATAGCAAGCATAAGCTTTCATGAGCTGAAGCTCACTTCATCAGATATTCATGAAAGCTTGCACTATACTTCTACATCTACATTTACTTATCTTGGTTAGTCTATAAAGTGCAACTCTGCCCTGCCTTTGTCTTTTATTGGACCAACTGCATACTTGGATAGAGTTAGAAAAGCTTTTGAACACAAGCCATTCTTCTTCAGGTCATGTATGTGTGGCTTGTGTCTTTCTATTGACTTTCCTGGCCTTGCATTTCCAAGTTCAGAAGGAAACATTTTCATCTCAAAGGGGCCCAGATCTAACTCCCACTGCCATTAATGGGTACCTTTAGACATACTTGAATGGAACTGGACCAATCTCCACCCCCAGGCCCTTGCATTGTGCCATTTAACTGTTTAGGTGTTTCTTTGTTTAACCCAAGAGGCGAAGTAGGCTGAGTTTTGGTGGGGAACACTCTGGGGAACTCAGTGTGAGCATGCTTTGCTGTAAATAGTTTCATAATTATTGCATCTAGATGCACTTTCTACCTCGGGGGAGATGGCAGTCTGGGACTGGCACTAGGCTGCAGAGATTGCTCCCTGATGGGTTCCCCATATAATTTTGCTCATTTGACTGGGTGACTGTTAGTGCCTGAGTTAAAACTATCATTTTGTAATGGTTTTGTAGCAAGGGCAGCTGTCTATGCCTGAGGCATGCCTGTTTTGTCTGAGGCAAAAGGAAAGGGAAAGCAGGACTCCCATGGAGGGCTGAGGGAACTGCAGCGGCACAATAAAGACTCTGGAGCTGAGCTGTCTGTGGTGGCGTATGGGACAATGGCATCCTGACCCTTCCCCTCCCCTTCCAACACCCATTTCCAGGAGCTGAGCAAAGCTGGAGCTCTCTGAGGTCGGGGTTCAGTGGATCAGTGGGTTGGTCAGGGGCTGAGAAGAGCCGGGGTCTTGAAGCCAGAGGCTTGCCCCTCAAGAAGCCATGTCAGGGATGGATTCAGGGTGTCCGTTGGAAGAGGGAAACAGAATAAGGTTTTCTTTGGAGAGTCCCAAAGTAGAGCTTCCCCTGTAAGAGGCTGGTCCATGACAGCTTTGCCTTTCTCCTCTCTTGCTTGCTTACGGCAGGAGTGTCAAAGATAGGGCCTGCAGAGCTGTTCTACTTGGCCTGCTGAGCTGCTGGAGGACTACTGAAAGTTGGGGGTGTGGACAGGAAGGGAGAGAGCATGCTGCAGATTTTGGGGGCCCCTGTGTCCTACTGAACATGGAAGTTGATGACAGGAGTTTAAGCGAGCACTGTGCTTCCAGAGCCCTGCTCACCCTGTGACTGGCTGGCTCAGTACCCCCAGGCCCCTGCCACAGCTGCCACTGGACCTGCTGCAGCTGCTGGCCCCATGGATCCAGCTGGAGAGGAGCCCATTCTGGCCCATAGCCCAGATCTGGCCCATAGCCTGGGGTGTGGGAAACACCCCTGGTTTACATCTATGGATGTCTTCATTCTCGGCTTATAAACACACATCTACTTGCCTTGGTTTATTCACTCACTAAGGACCTAAACTGAAGCCCCTTAAAATAAATGGACAGATACCACTTGTCTTCAGTGGACTAGAATCCTCTGTATTTTCTGTGTGCTCTTCTGCTCACGCATTCATGTCTATGATATCCTCTTTGTAATAAGAAGACCAAAAGTATAGCTTCAAATCACCAAAGCCCACATGATACCACTGTCACTGCCATACTGCTGTCCTGGAATATACTGGTATTTTCTTTGACTTGGCATCAATCATTCCAGTTGTGCAGGTCTGATCTAACTTGATTTGCTAGTATTAGTATCTGTGCTAGAGATTTTGGAATTTCATCTCCCCAGTAGCCCAACCCTACCCCTGACAGCAGCTTGTCTAGCCACTGAGCTTCTATTTCAATAACCTTTTGGTGCTCCCTATCTGCAAGACAAGAGGTGTGACAAAAGCTAAGTCAAGTCCCATGGGATTCCCATCAGTTGGCAGACTAAAGGCATAGGCTGCCTCTTCGCCTATAGAAACAATACCACAAAATTCTGGTGACAACAACAGGACAATGCATCAGGGTCAATATGTTCCCCCAAAGGCTGGTGCTCTATTGATGAGAAGCTATGATCAAAATTCACCCCTGCCTATTGGCAAAGGTAGGATGCTAGACTTTGGATTCAATGGGCCAGAAATGCATATGAAGTATGTCAATTGAGGCTCATGGATTTATACTGGCTTGGGGTTGGGATCAATCAAGTACTCCTGAAACTGAAATTCTCCCCAAAATGCCTCGGTGCCTCTTTCTCTGTTTAAGTCCTTAATAAGAAAGCTATAGCCCTTAGTACTACAACAGGGGTGAGTACTTATTTTGGGCGGAGGGCCACTTACTGAGTTTTGGCAAGCCATTGAGGGCTGCATGACAGGGAGCCAGGGGCAGATAAGTATTAATTATCTAAATTGTTTAGGGGCCCTGCAGGCCACATTTTGCCCACCCCTGTACTACAACAAGGCTGATGGGCATTTGGCTGGTGACACTGTCCCATTGACTTTACCTTGTGTTTTATCTCGGAATATGTTGTTCCGTACTTTTGCTCCAGGTATCTGTAGTCGTAGTTGGGGAATGGAGATGGCATGGGATAGCTCCCAGATTTCCAGAGCTTCCATAGGTTCACTGCAGCTATTCCCAGCAGAGCAAGTGCACCGGTCACATAGATCCCGGTTTCCCACCCAGGGGGGTTCTTTGTGACTAAAAAAGAAATAACTTATTGTTAGGATATCTTCAGCCTCATGCCTTAAGCTAACCACCACATGTTGGTGATGAGGACTAACAGGGGGTTAGATATGCCATACCAGATGCAGGGTTCTTACACCCCTCCCTTGGCAGCATCAGATAGTGGCCAGTGTTGGATACTGACCTACATTGGCCTTGGATTCTGTTCCTGTCTAACAATCCTTGCACTGGAGCATCAGCACCAGGCTTCAAGTGAGGAAGGCAGCTAAGGAAGCTTGCCTGGAAAATAAGGTCCCACCATTATGTGAATCAGGAGCGTACCTGACATGACATTAACTGAAGACTCTCAACCTTTCTGCTTCACTGCATATACTGATCATCGTCAAGGGTGAGGAGGGAAAAACACACACACACACACACGAAAAACAATTGCTAGAAATGTCAATGCACTTTATATGTGAGAAATACGGTAAGAACAGTTTCTGCCAGTTATGGGCATAAGAGAAAGTAAAATCTGCACACAACTCACAAGAAGCAGAAAGATGGGCAAGCTCTGCTCCCCACCACTGCTACTTAGTTACTACAAGGAAAGATTTTTTTCCTTCGTTTTGCCTTTCAAAAAAACAAGGCGCCTTGTATATTCAAGGGTGTGTTATATGTGATAAAATATAGTACATTGTTCTTTCCCCAAAAGTCGGTTCCCAAAGGCCAGAGATGCTAAGTGAATCTGGGAGAAGCTTCCTAGTTACCTGGCTATACAGAGGAAACTCTGGGCTCATGGCTGTAACTAGAAGAGTATGCAGCAGCCTCAATATGGTATGCTGAACAATTGTTGCTGCATTGCACCAGCATCCATCACATAAAATGATTAAATCCATGTCAATCATTCAGTGTAACAAGAAATAAAATCTTTGTTGCAGAACACTGTTGGGAGATCAGTGCCTCCAGCTGTGAAAACAGAATGCTAGCCTTTATCTAGCAAGAGACATTTATCCTATGATCATATTCTGGTCCATTGGCATCAGCTCTTGAACAGAGACCTGAGAGAGAGACAGCTGAAGCAGTCTCTGTGAATGCATTTGTCAGATTTGAGCACAACCATGGTCCATCTACCTCCACAGCCCCTCTCTGACTGCAATCAATGGAAGCTGGGCCCAGAAGAAGCCATCACATCTATAATATGATGGAACTAACTTTTTGATACAACAAGGAAAGGCATTTTTTCTTGATAGTGGTTGCTGATCTGCATAGGCCAGAAAGTATGACATTTGCTATGGTGTCTGGTTTTCACACTGGCCTAAAATCCTGTGTTCCCCTTCCTTTCTAATTATCTGCATTAGTTTGTTCTCTTGCCTTGGCTTGTAAGCTCTTTGGTGCAGTGTTTGTACAGCACCAGGCACAAACCAGGGGGGGCTGAATTATAATTGGGTTCCTAGGTGCTACTAAAGTATAAATAAATAAGGGAGTAAGAGCCCTGGTGAGTTCCATCCTAGTGGATGCCTCACCATCATCTGTTATTTAGGTAGCATATAGGGGTCCCACAGGGACCAGGACCTTTATGGGCATGTCATACTATGTTCCCTGCACTGCTCTCAAGCACACCCCCATCCACCTGCTCTGCTCATATGTGCTAATCCTGAAAATGAGACAGTGAAGCCACTTTGCAAGATGCCTGCTGTTGCTCT